ATCACAGAGACATCATTGAATATATGCTTTTTCGTCGACATGATAAAGTCAATCTCATTTTTTATTTTGCCGTCCGGACTCATCCAGGTCCACTTACGAGTTGGAGATTTCCTGAAAAAGGTGTTCATCATATAGAGGTTCTCCTTTTCCATGAAATCAACCAACATCCGGCCTCTGGCGTTCCGCTGTCCAACTCCAAATTGCCCCACTCTCAGTTCATCACCGCAACGCTTTCCCAACTTTGCATTAAAGTCCCCCATAACAATCGTGTAGTGGGTTTTGTAGCTATGCATGGCTTTTGAGATCTCCTCATACATAGCCTCCACTTCGTCATCTGGGTGTGTCGAGGTCGGAGCATAAACCTGAATGACATTCAACGAATATCGTTTTGATATTCTGAGTATCAGGTATGCCACCCTGGTCGACACACTTCCGATGGAAATCACGTTGTTAACAAGGGACTTGTGGACAATAAACCCGACACCGCCAAGGGACTGTTGGTCGCCCTCCCGGTAGTACAGTAAGTTGCCGGAATTAAGGATTATCGAGTCCTCCCCCTCTCTTCGGACTTCAGATAGCCCAATGATATCCCAGCGTAACTTACTAATAGCTTCTTCCAATTCTGTGAGCTTTGCGTCGGTCCTCAATGTGCGCGTGTTGTAGGTTGCCAGGTCCAGTCGTCGTCGTTGATGGTAGCCGGGTCTCCCCCGGGGATTCTTCGCACCCCATGCCCTGTTTCCAAAGCCGCTACCGTGACTAGGAAGAGCAGGACTGCCGGGGACTAGGGGCCAATTCTTTGGTGTGTGTATCATAGGGAGGGTTGTGCCATAATCGCCACGCTTGGCAGGCGGGTTGGCGATCGCAGTTCTGGTCAAGATGGGTAGAAGACGCTGCTGCCCGTCTTCTTCTGACAATTTTTTCCTTAGTCGCCTTTTACGACACCCACAGGACAAGAAGGGGGTGGTGCTATTCTAGGCCGGCACCACACGGCACTCTATTACATAACAAAGAATATTTATAATAACAATTGTGTAATAAGGCCATATCGGTAGTAACAACTTACGTTATAGACAGGCGTGTAGCTTACCATCAGGCGCACGACTTGTTCGTCCCGTCACTAGATATTATTAAAAAAAAAGAAAAACATTTTTGACGTTTAGTGCAAATGGCTATTATACCAAAGGATTCGCTCTGGACCTTTTGGAGGGAAAAGTGTCGTTTTTATTTTGACTTTCAATTATTTTGTGAAATCTAGTTTAAAGTGGAATAGGATAGTGCTATTGTGCCTTAATCGAAGATTAAAATGCGAAATTATACGAATCTCGAATTAAAATACCCGTAACAGCCCGTTTTAAGGAATCCCGAGTCAATCCTAGCACGTCGCCTCAAATTGCCTATCCTTTTTGTGGCGGCCATATTTACAGAAACATAATTTAAACTTCACGTTTAGGCTGATGGCTTTGCCAAAGCCTTAAAAACTTTAAAAAAAAATTATACCAAAGGTACAAATACAACAAACAATATTTTTTTGAATAATAATTGTAAATTACTGTTCCATAAAATTCATGTAAGAAAGAAGACAAACGAAAGTTGTTTGCATGCTAAGTAAGTAGGTAACTATTTGAATTATATACAAACCATTGTAAAGGGGTCTGCGACACGACAAAACAAAAGAATACGAGCATTCTATTGACAGGTTTGGTGTGAATGGTATGGTTGTTACTATTACAATAAGGTGTAGAATTAACGGTTCTGGATCTACGAAATCGGGTTGTACGAATATCAGCATCCGTATCCGCGGATAATCTGCATTAATTAAAATATCCGGATGCTGACATTTATTGCTGATGTTCGAGTCGTGACATGAGCTAAAAATACGCTGGATTAGTTTACAAATATTCCAGAAACAGACCGTAAGCCGAAAAAGCAGCTCAGCTGTTGTTTAAAATATAATTGGAATAAAATTCCACAACGATTAAGCTAGGCAGATTGATAAATGTCACAAAATCATTAAAATAACATTTTATACAATACCAAAGAAAATAGATAGTTTTTTCATGTTAATAGATTCAGTAAGGATATACATATTTCGCGTTTTTTTAAATAGTATCTGCTGATTTTAAGGTAAAAAATCAGCATCCGCATCTGCATCAGTAACAACCCTGGTCTGAAGTTTCAGACCAGGTAATAAGTGTTGGTAACCTAGTGGGAGAAAGGCCTGTTTCTCAATTCAGACGGTTAGAATCCTTGTGGAACCATGTACTCTTTTATTTGTAAACTTCTAAAAAACATCTGCAAAGTAATTTAGTAATGTAAATATGTCCCAATACATATTGGACCTATGTGGGAATTACAGCCCAAGTCCTCTCATTATAAGAGGAGGTCTGCGCCCTAACACAAGGTCTATAATATAAGCTAATGATTACAATTATATATAAGCTACCTCCATGGCCCAACGGTTACCATGCTGGTCTACCACGCAAAGGTCCCGGGTTCGATTCCTCAGGATAAATATTTGTATAGCCTACATTTATTCCTTTATTATGTCTATGTGTGTGTCCATGGCACCTGAGACACAGGGTTTCCCAAGTATCTTTGCGATTTAAAACTCTGAGTGGCATCGCAACTGTCAACTGTCTGTTTTGAATCATATTTGTGTGGAATCTGTCTCTCTCTGGAGACTCGCATTGTCTTTCCATACATCTTTGTCTAACACATAGTCTACAATTTCGTAATATGACTTGTCAATTAAAATATTTTGTAAATTTTAAACTTAGAAAATGGTAATCTTAATATATGCTCTGGAATATTATTGTAAAAACGTACACAATTCCCCATAAAATAATCATTTGCCTTAGTTAAAAGAAATTGTGGTACCATGAGTTCGGACTTTCTTCTAAGGTTAATATTATGGATATCTTCTTTCTTAACGAAATTATGTATATTTTTATGGGCATACAAAATATTTGAGTAAATGTACTGTGACGCCGCGATACCAGTCATGATACCAGTTTCCTTAAACTTTTCTCTGAGAGAAATCCGAGAACCTAAATGGTACACATAACAAATTGTTCGTTTTTGCAACACAAATATTGGTTTGTATATCTGATGTTAAGGATAGGTGTTGTGTACCACCAGGTGCTCGACTTCTTCATCCCGTTACTGGATATCATAAAAAAAGAATAAACTTAGGTAGCTAAAGGGTAAAATTGCCACCTTTAAAGGTAGAAAATATTATTAAAAAATATGAATACCCATGCATTAAAAAATTGAGAGCGAACCAAGCTGCTGCAAGCTGATTCTTGAACCAAGGCAAACTTAGCATGATCAAATTGAGGACGTCCTAAAGAACCAGGACTAGAGTACCCCGAACTAATAAGCATATATGAAATTACTGATGCGTGTGAAAGATGTGTGTCAGATAAGTATTTGTTGATAGAAGCACTTTGTAATTAAATGTAATCTGATATATTGGAATTTAATCAGCCATTTAATGTTTTTTGATTGATTGATGAGTTGATGACTTATTAATATTACGTACTAACATTTAAAGTCCTATTTCTATACACATTAGGTAACAATATGTAACCTGTTCTTTTAGTTATTCATGTTTTTTTCGTTGGTTGGGATACTAACATATGAAAGATTTTTGTATTATAATAATATGGTATTGCGTATACAGCTACATTTAACAAGTCTCGCAAAGTTTTCATTTAAAATGGGTATTTATAACAGCATCAGAAAAGAAACTTTGAAAATCCAGACATTACTTCAGAGTTCATATTGAGTTTTCAAAATAAAGTTATAGAAATAAAACTCTTGTAATAAGAAGTTTGTACTTTAAAGAAATATTCTTACAATTACAAATGAACAGTATTGCAAATATTTTAAAATAAAGTGGTTTCATATATTTAGGAATAAACAAAGGATAACAATAAATTAACTAAAAACATTAAAAAATACATTAAATGTAATTTATAATGAATATTATAATGTAAAGTGAATGTCCAGCTTTAGTTTGTTTGTTGAGTTTTATATAAGATTTTGTTTAAACATTTTATGATAATATGAATGTTAATTATGTTGTGGTACCCTACCAGGGTTCAGGTACACAAAATTTTTAATAGTACACCATATCAACCGCGTGATATTTTTTTCTTCATTTATGAGAAGGTCAGAGACCACTGCCTAGTCATTAGGTTCTCTTTTTCTTCAGTAAATATGTTTCGATTTAAGTCTTCAGTGTAAGAGCTTCAGTATTTCAGCAAGAGCAGTGTAAAGTACATGTTTGAAAAAATTGACATTGTTAATGTTATTTCGCACTGTTGCCTATGTTCATTCCTTTTTATAAATATGGGACTTGTGGACACAAGAACCGAAATGACATTTATCCATTTCCAGTGAATAAGAAGCACTGTAAAATATTTACAAATGTTTTATTTAGTGACCCTTGCAGAAAACACTATTTGCAATTACTGTATCTTTCATAAATTTCATAACAAAATTTCTCGTCCTTCGGGACAGGCAAGGAAGTATAATTGGTCGTATTGCTGATCTTAGATTGTAAATTTTGTGACATTTTTTCGCGGGAAATATATCTTTGCCTTCCATGAATTTGTAAAAAAAAATCAAAAATAGACAAAGGCATCGGAGCCATACTACCAGTTAAATTGCAATTCATTTAACGGATAAAATCAGCGTTGAAACGAACGACGTTGTTGAATAAAGTAAGTGGATATAAATTAAAAGTTACTTATCGACATTGTTATAAATTAAATAATTAATGAAAAGTAGCATCATTAAGACGATTCTTTAGTTATTACATTTAAGCAATCTAAAATCGAGGTCACATTGCCGCCAGAGGAAAAAAAAATTTCGCAACTACTATCCATCGAGTAAGGTAAAAACAACTTATGGCAGTGATCTCATCTCGCATTTTGCAACTTAGTTCAAACTTATTTTAAAATATTTTCCATAAATAATTAAGTTATTTAACTTACCTAAGATAGTACACAGCGTCCACAATACAATTTTTTCAACTTAAATGTGGAAAAAACGGAATTCTGGGCGACAAAATCACATAAAATTAGAACCGATAATTAACAACCAAGTGTCACAAAAATCCAGATCATAAATCAGCAATACCATATCACAGATGCACACAACACTTTGTAAAGTTGTCTTTGATTGTATATTTGGGAAATTTATAAACAACACACTGTTAATAATTGAATAAAATAAAAAGTAAACAAAACAACCACGAGCGATGAAAAACTGATTAGAGTGAGTAACTAAACTGAAGTGAGTAATGAAATCGCTGCATTTGACGCGTCAATATGGTGCTGCCATTTTAAGGGACTTTGTAAAATTTTTAAGGTGTTTTTAAAATTTTCAATACATTGTTTAAAATTAAATTTGAAATTAAAGTATTTCCCGTTCATAAAATAACACTGACGGGCATGTAACTGTGTATTTATATTATCTGAACTGAGGCTAAATATAATACCAATGCTAACTAATGCTTCTATGTAATTGTAATGATGAGACTAGTGTTTAATCTATTTTTTATCTTCTATCCTTTCGATATTGAATTTAACATTCTAATTCGTTGATTGACGTGGCTAACCTTACATTAATAACATAAATATAGAAACTATTACCTACTTGCTAGCATTGAAACTACAAAAGTATGATTGGAAAATATAGATGATTTAGTAAATTACTGTTTTGCTTTTTTGAACGGCATATAAGAATATTATCCACCAGGTCTTATTACCTTGTTTTCTATTATCCAATTTAAAAAAATACAATGTAGGTAAACACAAATTTCACTATGGTATTATTGCTACACTATGGTATTAAGTGCAGTCTGTTGCTATCTTCATTATTAATATAAAGCTATAAACACGCCACCTATTGAGAAGTGGCTATATTATAAATATTGTTCCTAATAAACGTTATAAAAAAATTAAATTCAATAATATGAAACTTCATTATTATAATAAATCATCAAGATTTTTTTCGTCAATGTATTACTTTTTTAGACTTACAGATTTACAATGCTATTATTATGTATGTTCAATTATCTAGCCATCTCCGCATTTTCCAATAGGATGCTGAACGCCATGAATAAATACGTATTAAGTAAATACTTAATGCGGTTATAATTTCTAATTTACATGTTCAAAATTAACAGAACAACACGCGCGACTTTGCTCGTGACGAATTAGTTAACTACTGGAACACGTTGGCGTCTTACCATCACAGCACTTAGCATGTTATTAGTCCATTAGGAAAATTTAATAAACCTCCCTTTAGTTCGGCGATTGTAACAACTGAACAAGAATCTGACCAAAGAATTCCAGCGTAGTTCCGTCTCCTAGATTTAAATTAATTTCATAATTATGTCGACTTTCTTGTTCAATTTTCAATTTCAATGTTATAATTTAAAAAAATATTTAAAAAATCGAACGTTAAGCGAGCATCCAATGATTGATTATCAATCGTTAAACAAGTTATCGAGAATCGTGTAATCTATTGTTATAAATCGAATACAATAATTAGGTACAAGTTCAAGAGCACGTCAAGTTTAACACTAAAGGTCATATTCCAGAACTCAACTCAATGCTCAAATCAGGACTTGAATATGGTTTAAAGCACTCGAAATCATACTCAAGTCCTTGCCATTAGGGTCTTATTTCCAGTGCTTGTGTTGCCAGTGCAATCCTGACTTGAGCATTGAATAGAGTTCTAGATTACGACCCTAAGGATCGCATTCCAGAACTCTACTCAATGCTCAAGTCAGGATTTGAGCAGACTTGAGTATGATTTCAAGCACTGGAAATACGACCCTAATGGCAAGGACTTGAGTATGATTTTCAGTGCTTTAAATCATACTCAAGTCCTGACTTGAGCATTGAGTAGAGTTCTAGAATACGACCCTTAGGCTGCTAACAGATTGACTGCATGTTTGCAGTTAATGCGTGAAGTCGTAATCAACTTCATGCAGCCGGGACCACAACTGCACTGCCGTACATTAAGGCACAACTCACACTGGCGCAGAGTCGAAGCGTCGCGACGCGTCATGTTTTTCGCCTTTAGTATATTCATCTCTATTTTCCCATTATTAAGGTACAAATTTGTGTTATGCAAATATGGAAAGCATCATTATATCATTAAATAATTTCAATATTCTAAAACTGGGTTAAGGTTCTCTTATGGTAAATCAAAAAATGATTTTGTCACATAACCGCGTTTTCATTTGCGGATGGCAGTGCATGCATTTATGTGTGAAATCGTCATTAACTTCATGCAGCCGATCCCGGCTGCTTGAAATCGGTTTCGACTGCATGCAGTTAATGCGTGAAGTCGTTATCCGAAACCTCGAACGCATGAAGTTAATGACGATTTCACGCATTAACTGCAT